TCAAGAAGAGTCAGGATAACAAAATGTTTATTGAGAATAAATAACTATAGTGACATTATGTCAATATTAATTGTAAAGTGAATAAAAATGCTGTACTCAGACAGAGAAATACAAACTATTTTAACTTATTATTTTAAAAATAATTGAAATATTTCAGAAACAGTTGAATTTACACTGAGAGAAAAATATTATAAAAAATATATATATATTTTTTTTAATAATGGCTATAATAAATCTTATACCTATTTGGACATGTCCAATAAATCGATTCATTACTGTTATCATCTAAAGATTAGTAAGACGATTTTATAACGTTTAATAGTTATTTGTTTTAAAAGTGTTGAAAAGCGACTTTTTCATGCGAGTGTTTAAGTTGCTCACAAGGCCGTCAGGCTTTAAGAAAGCTTTTCTTACAATTAAAACACAATGTTTTTTTTACAACCCTTTTATTTTTTATTATATTCAAATACAAAACAAAATAACCCAAAAACGTGTTTGACAGCTGTTAAAATTACTTTCAATTTATTCTTTTTATTTTTATTGTATAAGTTACTTAAAATCAATAAACTTACCTTTTCAATTTAAATTAAGGCACTAAAAATTAGAACACGGATAAAAAGGATTTCTTAGATATAGAATTTTATTTTTCTTAAAAATATTTATTTGAATAGAGTTAATTTGATTTGATTTAAGACGAATGTTTTGTTACAAGAATGTTCAATTTCTTTTAAATAGTAAATATATTTCTTGAAAAAAACTCTTGGTTCAAGAATTTTTCTTCATTGAAGAAACGCATTGCGTTAATTCAAGTAAAATATTTCTTATTTTCTAAAAATTACCCTTTTCTTGGGACAAGAGAATCAGGGCTTGTAAATTTTACTTGAAGAATATTAAAATTTATTGTTCTTGTATTAAGAAAATCTGATCGTTTGACTTCGTTTCAAGAATAATTATTAGATAATTTCTTGTATTTACGAGCTGTCCGTTGGGGAGAGAATAAACTTGTTTCATACGTCCTACACCCTCATTTGAAAAGTAACCGTGCTTGACAAGCACTGCTTGTGTTTACTTAAATGTTTAAAAATGAGTGATTATTCGAACGATTACAGTGCCGTAGACATTAGGACATTATTGACTGAATGGAATACTCCAGAACGTAGGGGTTAACCATTTTTTAACTTTTTTTGACACCATGTACATTTTTATTTATTTGTAAATAAATCTTTGTGTCAAAAAAGTTCAAAATTGTTTACCCCCCCTCTGCTTCTTAAAAATCCCGAATGTAGCTTAAATATTAACTATACTGAAGAAAATTTCAAATACTTGTTTGAAGAAGTACTCGTCTTAAATGAAATAAATATTATCTTTAACCAAGAATACATTTTATTAACGCAAGACACAAAATATTTCTATAAAGAAAAGAACGGTTTCATTGAAGAATTCCTTTGATTAATGCGAAGAATAATGTCTTGAATGAAGAATAATTACTACTCCACTAAAACTCAATTATTTTTGTTATTTTTTCCTCAAGTAATTTTATTTTTTATTCAAGAATATTTATTCTCGACCCAAAATGTGACAATTTTAATAACAAGAGTTTTTATCATTCGTTTAAGACTGCTTATGTTCTTAAAAAGGAGAAACTATATTCTCCGAGGAAAACATGTAACACAAGAATAATTTTTACTGCTGGCAAGAAAATATTGTTTCGAAGAGATAGGAATCATTTAGTATCTTGAATGAAGTTAATTTAACTTGGCTGAAGAAATCCTTTTTTACAGTGAATTTATTATACAAACACAATTAATTGTGTTCTAAATGATATTTAAACATACATTTACAAATACAATATAAATTTTGAAACGAATGTCACGATGCTGTCAATTTCTTTTCATGCAGACCTGTCACTTTTGAGTATGAGTATAAGAGACGTATAACCAGCCCCATTTCCTCTTGACTCTCGAACCCCGTACAGGCCTATGTTTAGTTACGCCGATTTTTGTTCTTCCCCAGCAACTTCACCCGTGTTTGCTGGGTGCGAATGTCCATTGCGTTCCGTACTGTCCCCTATTTGGGGCTCGAGAGCGAGAGGCGAATAGTTATAATAGCCATTCCCGGGTTCGCCGAGCCTATGCTATACGCTCAGTGGGGTAAGGAGGAGGGACGGGAGGGTGTTGGTTTTTGAGGGACAATTACGCCGACTTAAAACTAAGTAGGACGCGGAATCACCCTAGACCATTCGATTAGTATTACTCCAAACATTTGGGATTACTATTTGGAGTTGGGGAGTTGTTATT